AAGAAATAAAAAAACACCAACATGCATTGAAAAATAAATGGATTTGTCAACGATGGCTTAAACGCAACCTAACAAATGGAATTATTCGTGATAACACGAGGCTAAGTAACATACTAGCTCTATCAGTGATGAATTATTCAGTGTTCCTTGACAAGCACAATCTGTTCAATTATCATCAATGTTTAATTGCACATCTAAGAGAGCGCTTTCTGACAGGCGAGATAGGAAGCACTTTCACCAGGTTAAGTGGGAAGCAGTTCGTCCAAGCGTGTAACTGTCACTGTTAACAGGTTCATCAAACAAGGAGAAAAGACCAAGGTCCCGAAGCTGAGCGATGAGTGATTATAACACTAAACAAGCTCAGAAAAAAACAGATCTTGGGCAGTAGGTAACAAGCACCTTTGGAGAGCTTCATTCAGTGTGCTACAAAGATAAGCACCTCTCTGCCACCAACATGTCATTTATAACATAGTTCCAGATTACCACTTTGTGTCTATTTGATACAAGTTACATAAAGCCTTTCAAGCATCTGCTATAACTACCTGTGGGATACCACTCGCTACACAACTCACATAATAGGAGCTTGTGAAATATGTCATCCAGGCCATACGATATCACAATGGCCTCCGTATTCAGCATATACCCTTTCATCTTCACAGGTGCATATAGACTGGAGCCGAGCATTGCTCATTGCTCATGACGACTGAATATGGGTTTAGAGGGCAATAAAACTTAGGCAATTCAAACTTTTCTTCTTTGATGAAAATTGAAATTTCTAGTTTGGTCATAAAATATAAAAGGCAAGTCAATGAACTGAAGACATGTTTTAACTCAATCTAAAGTTCAGATTACAGTTACCTTATATGGATTAAAACGAACACTTTTCCATAGAAAACTTCAGGTTCAATGTCAAAATTTAAGATCTGAAATGAACCTGTACTGAGAACAACTGTCCAAAGAAGCTGAGTTATACCACCACAAACGTCAAACACAAAATATTATTAAACTTTGTCTATTTAATGAGGAAAGATCCCATGCATAGTAACTCCCCCTTTTCTATACGAAACTCTATCATGTTGCATGGCCTTTGCCAAGATTTGCTAAACCCCAAACTATCTTCTATTTGAAACTGAAAATATCTTTGCAATATAAAACTCTTAAACAAATGAGGTCAAAAACACTAAGAAAACCCCAATAATTGGTACGTCTGTCTCAACAATATAAAAAACCCAAAACCCTGTGTCAGACGAGCGTGCATGGCATTTATGGATACGAGATGTCTTTTCTGATTCAGAGGTATTACAGCAGCGTGGAAAGCCTAATAAACAATTTGCCTAAGGTTGTTTCCCAAATGGATCTGGGGACATGTCCACACTCCTATCTCATAAGCAGTGTAGAAATTCATGAATGGAATTATTGGGTACTACAAACAGATGATGCAGTAGCCGTGGATCCAAGATCTGACACACAGAATCTGTCAATAAATATTGATTTTTCGTCTCAGATTTGGACAATTTGTCAGATTTTCCACTTGAATATCCCATTTGGTCTAATCCTGATGCACATTAAACAGAATATCATCCCTACCAACTGACCCATCTGTGTAGACTGTTGAAATAAGAACACCCCATGTCCTGGACTGCTGGTCGAGCTTTGCGTCCCCAGACAAGCTTACCTTCGCTTTCATGTATTGATTGTTAGTTAACATGGACAGCGAATTTGATCTAATTGAGGAAATAAATAGGGAAGCAAAGTGTGGCATCCCAGTGGACATGACGCAGACAGAAATCCCCACAAGCTTCCCATAAATATCACTGCTTTTATCATAGAACACTGATTGTCCTCCGCATTTTCACGACCAAATATTAAGCTCAGTCTGTGGCTATGTTTTCTGTCCAAATACCACATATCCCTTGGCAACCTGTCTGGGTGACATGGTCAGAGGGTGCTAGTGAGCGGGACTGGCTAGAACACCAGGATGTTCCTGAGCTAGAGGCAAGAACGTGATGGTGTCAGCCTGACTGAATTTTCTTTTTGGGCATAGTGGGCATTGAATAAGAGCTGAGTATTTTATAGGAATATTACTTCATATTCACTTTGCTATGGTGAGGGAATATCACCATACATTTTAGCATTTCCTAGTACAACCTATATAGAACAACCTAGTCTTCACTTATCCAGAGCCTGTTAATATTCACTCATATTCACATATTATGGTACACTTACTTATCTATGGTAAAGTAATTTAACCTTGCAATTACTTATCAATTCAGGAAATTTATTATATTGGAATATTATCTCATATTCACTATAGTAGGGGAATATTACTTCATTTTCACTATGAAATAAGAACATTACCTTATACTCCCTACAATAAGGGAATATTAGTCCATATTAACAATGGCATGGGAATATTACCTCATATTTACTATAGCAGGGGAATATTACTTCATATTCACTATAAGAGAACATTACATCATACTCGCTACCATATGGGAATATTAGTCCATATCAACAAAGGCATAGGAATATTTCATCATACTCACAATCTATGTTATTTTTTCACTATCATATGAAAATATTACCCCGTATACATTTATTTACAGTAAGAATTATTAATATGCATAAATCATCCAAATATAATACGAGAATATTACTTTGTATTCACTCATCTGTGAAATGAGAACGTTACCTTGTATTCATGTATTCATTGTATAGATTATTCATTTTGTATAATTCACATAACCAAAGTAAGAGAATATTGCTTTGTACTCACTCATCCATACAAAGCTTTGATGTATATGTGATTAGAGATTACCATAGATACACACCAGAGAACTATACAAACAGTGGGATGTGAAATCAGTGTTCTTTCTGGCTTGGTGCAAGGACGAGGATATCCAATACCTAATCAGTGATTTCCTTCAAACCCTCAAGTCACGAGTCACCATGATCATTGATGAGGAGAATATACGTCAAGTTTGCGTTCTGATCAAGGGGATTCTAAAATCTTTTGACAGAAAATCAATAATGTAACTTCTATCTGTGAGTTTTGCAGTATGCCCGAGATAATTACAGATTACTACAATGCAAATAACACCAGAACGTTACAAAAATCAATCCAAAAATATCATTTAGAATTCTCATATTGAAGTAACGAACAAATCATTCGACACAGAGAATGTCTTCTTAGAATTGTTAATCTAAAACACAAAAAAGTTTTGTAAAGAAATTTGATATTTATTTCCTCAATAAACTGATCAGTAGACCCTTAAATCAGCAGACTTATCTCAACCTCCTTCCTGATTGATGACACATTACCTGTGAAGTCAAGGTTCAGAAGTTCTGTTACCATGGAAATTACTGATGCACAAATCCACAGTTCAGTTTTTCGGTCAGACTGAATCCAGCTGTATCCCAGTATCAGCTAGTCACTGTAATGTTTCCTGATTGCACAGTTCACTCGAGACAGCTTGGGGCGATTGTCATAGCTACACAATGTGTCACTTCAGCCGTACAAATATCGCACATTATCATTATGTAATTGTTCAGCATTTCAAAACACCATATATCACCTACACCATAGGGAATGTTTCAAAACCCAGTGGAAACATCAGATGAACAGATAGTTTTAACAGAAACTGCAGCTTACTGTTACATGTCACTTGTACCACACAGTTTCAAGTCTTGTAGTACAATGTGTGTATTTATCAGTTGTCCCAGATGCAATGTTTATCCAAAGGAGTGATACAGTTGTTATTCACTGTTATACAAAGCTTAGTGTTTTTCTTGTTTTTATTATAACACTTTGCAGGGCTACTGAGAAATTTTGGAAGATTCCATGTAATTTCTAAATTTTGAAGCTCGACTGTTGTATGCACTTTAATTCATTATCTGTATGTGAGGATATGTGTTTCAGTGCCTAAAAATGGTTGATTTATTTCAATAAAATTGCAATTTGAGAAAATATCTGAGTTTTGAAACATTACCTGTACTAGAAAACACGTAGAAAAGACTATCAAAAACGTCAATGGAATGTATGTCTCACATACTCCAGCCTCCTTGAACTATCTCACGTATTTCACAAATCACTGGCGTTCTCAGGCGTGACTTTCAACTGGAAGACAGCAGACAAACGGTCACTGATGGCAAGCAAAGTGGCAATGGCCCCAGCTTCGTGATTCCACACTGGGTCAACACACCTTCCTAAGTGATCTTAAGCGTATCAAATATCCCCCGGGTCTACCAGCAGTGAATTTAGTGAAGACTCCATGAGAGAATAAGGATCCCTCCACTATGAACAGAATACGACCTGAGCCAAAAATAAAAACACGCTTCGGCGTCGGCCTTCTCAGTTTCCTTTCCACATTTGTGGCATGGGTGTGTAGAGGAAATCCACGTATATTCCACACAGTTTTGCACTGTAAGACAATCTAGCTCACAGGCCGGCCGGCCCGCACATCTTGAGATTTTTCCACATCTGAGAATCCGTACATCGTTTGCACGTTGTATGGTCATTATATAATCCTTCACCGAAAAAAATCACAGTTTCTTGTGAGAACAATTCCTTCTTCACCTTATTCTGTAGTCCGCGTTTCTTTCTTCCTCGTCCTTCTTTCCTCCGTCGTCCTTCTTTCAATCCTCTTCACATAGTAAGTAGAGTGGGCTACAGCAACTAAGGTACCGGGAGAAAGCGAGGGTTTTGCTGGAAAAAGTCGCTACAGGTTCTAATTCTAGCGGCGACCCTGAACCGTGGGGATTGGTAACGGTGCTAACATGCAGTCTATCAAAATAAATAAACGCAGACGGGTGGATGATGTGTTTTTCGGGGAGATTCGGAGGGGGGCGTGACACGCGGTTATGGTTTGCGACTTTAAGTCACGGGGGGTGATGAAGACGGACGGGCGACCTGGGGGGAGAGAACCATGTGACATTGGGTGGAAAATAAAAACAGATGAGAGAAAGAGGCGGGTTGTGTGGAAAAGAAAGATGACACATACCTGGGATCTAGCAAAGGTTAGCTGGGCAAATTAGAACAGGCACAGAGCTGTCAGGGTCGAGAAGGTGTGAGGAGGAGGGAAGATGATCAGCGCGTGCGAGTGCAATGACGCGGCACGAGCCTTAGATTTACGCTTCCGCTAAACAATGTAGTGCATTTATCGATTGCCGCGTCGCTAACGTGTGAGAGGCGTTAAGAGCTGTGGCGCTTTACACGATGTCCACCACAATCATATTGGAGGGCATTTTCTTCCATGAATAATTAAATTTCAGCTGCTTTAATCAAAATTGCCTATTTTCATACATGTTGCGCATTGATATATTGTAAATATTGGGTACTATTTTTAGTTCAAGGGTTACGGTATTGATCATGTGACTTCACAAAATGGAGAAATAGCTAGAGGCGTTACAGAAATCGATAGGAATGACAGCATGAAAAATAGGTCCCTTATCGTACATAATGTATGTTTGAAATAGTGTTGCTATAAAACGCAATGCTGGGAATTACTTTGCGTTGATGAAATGCAGTAAAACTTTATTGATAACTCATTTTATTTCCGCTCGTGATGTGACAGCCGTGTTCTCCTCAAGCGTAAAATTGTAAACACATGGCGGAATGATTCCATAACTCATGAATATTCAAGGTCAAAGTTGAGTTCGTCACATGACCTAGTCAACATGGCGATGTGAAGGCGTTCCTGTCATATTCGGCATTCTCGGTTGTTTTCGACGACGACAGCAGTACACCTCGACAACACTTCGCTGCAAACGCCGTCATCGCTAACATGGGCACCAGAAATGTGTATAACTTTGACATTGAACGAATTCGGGAAGGGGAATTCCCAACCCTTAAAGGTAATCCCGGCTCTAGTTTCGGATCAAGTTACACCTGTCTTGTGAAAGTATGATTATGCAGTTTGTTGCACATTGTTGTATGGAAGTGTAACATTGTACTAGCTACGAGGCTGTGATTCAGTTCAACACTGGAAATACTTTAAGTGCCAAGTTGCAGCGTTACCCACTGAACAAAACCCATGAAATCTCGTTGAACGAAATCAAAACAACAATGACACAGCAAAAATTATCGGAAGCCGGAAAAGCACCAAATACTGTATGTAATTCGCAGAAAAGCACTGCAGACATGTAGTTACCTTCCCCATACACACACCAGGCAAATCGTAAAGATGAGGAGGACATGCATTAATCAAACACTTTGAAATAAAATGTAATAAAGTTTTATTTGAGGAACAAGTTCAGATGACACCTGTTGTAAAATATGAGATAACATCCAAAGGAATTTACTTAAATTAATAGTCTGCCTCACAGTCCCTGAACCACATTATTTTCCCAACTGCCTATCCTTCCCTATAATGCTACAATTCTGAATGAAGCAAGTCTTGACTTCCTAAGTTTCAGGAACTGTGAATCTCTCATCTCTCTGGGGCTGCTTTTCAATGTAAATAGGTTTATTTGTTACTATCAAAATTACAAATGTTCAGAGACTAAGTGTTTTTAACTACACTCAAACTCAAATTTATCAATCTCAACATCTCACTATATATACCTGCAATAAACAAGATGATATTATCAGTGAAGTAGTGTAATTTCCTTGGTTAGTATCCAGCTTCTAGAATGCCAATAAAACAAGAGTCGTAGCTGGACAGAAGACATTTAAACTTAACTTTTAGGAACAGGCCTTCAGTAAGTACAGCACATTGCACCATTAAACTGACATTTACACTGAAGCTTCCAAATAGACCTCTGTTAGGATATCAGCTGAAAACCTTGGCCATGAAATGTACACCATTGTTATAGAGAACCACACCCACCCTAATTAGCCAGCCATTAGCCAGGTCAGGGATACCACACTAATTGATACTCATTAGGTGATCAGTGGGATTACACAATTGCAATTAGTCTCTAAAACATTCATTGACTGATTAGTTAATTGCTTGTATCAACACAGTAATTGCACCTTGTCAGCCAATCAAAGGGTTCCTGTTTTTAGACACTGGGGTGGAAAATATTTTCAGTGATTCTGGGCACCCAATGTTTACTAATGGAATGAATCTGTCAAGAAATTTTATTTTTTTTATTCTTGTTGATGTTTTGTTTGACTAATTGTTGTGTTTGTTTAGTGTTACTGGTTGTCTTTCATGCTTTGTTTTTCCAGTGATGGTACAATGATTGTGTTTGTAACCTTACTTCTTTAGATAAGGCCAGACAAATTATTTTTCTTGTGTTACATATTTTTAAACTGGGGTTTTAGTGTCCAACAAACTGTCTTGCGTAGTCGAAGTCTTGCTCCCGTATATAAGATTTTATTTTTCGAGCGGGGAAAATTGATTTTTATTTTTTATCTTATTCTTGAAAAAATATGACCAGCTTATCTGTACAGCAAGAAATAAATAAGGTTAAAAAGGAGCAATATCTGTACAGCAAGACATAAATAAGGTTAAAAAGGAGCAATATATGCACTCAATATTTGACAGTGACTTTAGGTGTGTGTTTTTTTAATTTAAATGTATTCAAAGATTGACTGTATTTTTTCAGTTCAATGAGGTACAAATAAAAAACCCTGATGTGCCTAATGTATGAATCTGCATAGCCGAAAGTTGTCCACTTTGATGGACTTTAGGAAGTCAATGCAACAACACCTGACTAAATCAGCCAATCAGAATGACGGAAATACAATGAACACTACGAAAGTTTAATGATTCATATGTTCAAATGTGTGTATGTTGTTGGGTTATGAGAAGGCCTTATTAAAGGGATGTAATGATTAAGGTAATGGTTTAGAATAATGTCCAAGGTCTTCTCAAACTACACCTTTCTATCAAAAGTGAATATTTGTTATACAGATTAGTTTTCTAAGTGTCTTTGTTCAGTAAAACTCATGTTATTCTTCCAAAATAATATTTCCCCTGGCTTTATCTAGTGTTTATGACATTCTAAAACTTCTATTGCTGGGACAACGAGGAGAGTTCTATGGATATACAACTTCTTTAATATAATATTAGCGATGTTTCGGTGTAGCTTAACTAACACCGTTATCAAGCAAATGATGTACAATACTAGAGGCAAGGTATATATATATACGAAGAAGTTGTATATCCATAGAACTCTCCTCGTTGTTCATCACACCAACTTCTAAATGCCACTCAAACAAGTTCTACTGATGGGGTTGAATGTTTGTAATTGATGTAGGTGATGTATGGAAACCATCAAAACAATGTTTCTCAATGTTTGAAAAAACAACAGACTAGATGATATGCACAATGACAAGCAATAGCCATTGTAAATTATTACAGGTAGTTTCATGCTGTATTTCAATGTGTCAGAGATTGGTATTTTAAAAATGGCAATAAATTAATCTAAGAGCTTAGTGTGCACAGTAATGCACTTGTGTGTAAGGTGCCCTGTCATCCACTGGCCTTCTGAAGGTGTTATTGAAAATCACACAATGTGTGTAATTACATACATTAAAAAGAATAATCATACTTAACATATCTATTATTAATGTTTTAAGTGATACAAATAAGACCTTTTTGTACAAGAAAACATATATTTCTCATGTTTTAGTAATGGATAAATGTAGCATGTTTACGTATTTCACCAAACACGCATCGCCCCTTGAACTGTTGGCACCATACAGTGCAATGAGGTCATGGAACAAAGTAACAATGCAATGAGGTCATAGTTGAAGGAATGTTGCGATACTGGACAGTTAATATGGGCCCTGTCATTAGAAGGGACATATAGCCAATGTGGGACCTGTCATTAGAAGGGACATATAATCAATATGGGACCTGTCATTAGAAGGGTCATATGGGACCTGTCATTAGAAGGGACATATAACCAATATGGGACCTGTCATTAGAAGGGACATATAACCAATATGGGACCTGTCATTAGAAGGACATATAAACCAATATGGGACCTCAAATATGGGACCTGTCATTAGAAGGGACATATAGCCAATGTGGGACCTGTCATTAGAAGGGACATATAACCAATATGGGACCTGTCATTAGAAGGGACATATAACCAATATGGGACCTGTCATTAGAAGGGACATATAACCAATATGGGACCTGTCATTAGAAGGGACATATAACCAATATGGGACCTGTCATTAGAAGGAACATATAACCAATATGGGACCTGTCATTAGAAGGGACATATAACCAATATGGGACCTGTCATTAGAAGGGTCATATGGGACCTGTCATTAGAAGGGACATATAGCCAATGTGGGACCTGTCATTAGAAGGGACATATAACCAATATGGGACCTGTCATTAGAAGGGAAATATAACCAATATGGGACCTGTCATTAGAAGGGACATATAACCAATATGGGACCTGTCATTAGAAGGGTCATATAACCAATATGGGACATGTCATTAGAAGGGACATATAACCAATATGGGACCTGTCATTAGAAGAGAAATATAACTAACATGGGACCTGTCATTAGGAGGGAAATATAACCAATATGGGACCTGTCATTAGAAAGGTAATATAACTGATATGGGACCTGTCATTAGAAGGGAAATGGAAAATATTATTGGAAAAGCCAATGGAATGGAACTAATTGCAATTTGGGGTCTTTTGGTGGCAATGCAATGTTTGTTCTTATCTTTAAACCTTATGATGCTCTGTTAAAAATTCAACATACCATACTGATGATTCAATATAAGCTGATTCAGCAAATGAACTTCAGATCTTTCTCTTGCTGCTTTGAGCTGATGCTATTGACAGCTTTAATTTTCTGGACAATTTCTTGAATTGAAAAAGAAGAAAAACATAACACAAAAAATAATACCATGATCATTTTATGGTCTTAATGAGCTTCCATACATACCAGCTGAGATTGTAAAGAGGAAATGCTAACACATGTTTAATATGATAAGTTGTCAGGATGTGCATATTTATGTGACTTTCCCTAGCTACACAAGGATATTACTTCACTGATATAAATTAAAAATCATTTATACTTTCAAGGATGTGCTGCAAAACAAAATGTCACGATGCTCAGGAAGTCATGGCTCATCTGCAGCCTAGTGGTCAAAGTGTTTGCTCGTCACACCAAATATGTGGGTTTGATTGCCCAAATGAATACAATGTGTGAAGCTTATTTCTGGTGTCCCCCGCCTTGATATTGCTGGAATATTGCAAAAGTCATAAAACTCAACTCACTCGAATGCCCGCTCGCCAACCGGCCTGCCCACCCAAATACTCACTCACTCACTCACTCACTCACTCACTCACTCACTCACTCACTCACTCACTCACTCACTCACTCACTCACTCACTCACTCACTCACTCACTCACTCACTCACTCACTCACTCACTCACTCTCACTCACTTCACTCACTCACTCTCACTCACTCACTCACTCACTCACTCACTCACTCACTCACTCACTCACTCACTCACTCACTCACTCACTCACTCACTCACTCACTCACTCACTCACTCACTCACTCACTCACTCACTCACTCACTCACTCACTCACTCACTCACTCACTCACTCTGCTTAGGTAGCATACATCTATAATCATCATATGAACCAATGAAGATGAAGCTTAACATGCCTGTTCCCACAAAGAGATGACAGCTGGGTTTGAGGTCCAAACTCAATTTTTACGATGAACGCGATGTTGGCCATATTGTGGACAGTGTTTATGGCCATCATATTATATCAATACATATTGAAATTTGGTACACGTGTAGATAGTAGGCTCACCATGTTTGTTATAGCGTTATTTAATTTCTTTTCAACCTTGATTTGAGCAGTGACCCTACTGAGCACTGAATTTTTATGGCCATTGTCCCTTTTATTCAAGA